AGCCTGTTTCTGCCAAAATGCAGATATTTGAGGAGCAGTCATATCACCCCTTTTAGGGTGTCACTAAGTGTGGTCTGAACCTCCACACCCCCTAATGACACCACTGCTCTCAGCCCCAAAAAAATCCTGTGATACATTCATCTTAGGGTCATCATAAGTTGGAAACAACTTGAAGGCAACAACAAATGCTTGGACTTGGGATATTAACAAAGTCAGATTTTTGACAGTACCCTTATTCTCCCTGTCATCATTCAATTTTAATGATGGATCCGTCTACAAAGCTATGGCCTTCCTCTGGCTCCCAAGACCCATCAAAATCCTTCTGAACACGTGGGTGGGATTTGCAGAAATAACCCCATAGCTTGTTCAAACTCAATGACACTCCTGTCCAGTTAACAAAGTTTATCACCACTATTTCTGCCTTTGGCAAATGCATTATTTCAAATAATCAGATTAGTACATGCAGAAAATGGGTTTCTGGCAGAATGTGATTTCTCAGTAATAGCATAATTTCATGTGTTGGGCACAATCATACAGTTATATAGACACAGGCAATATATTTGCAATTAGCTTCTGTCTCAGAAGTTGGACAGCATCTTTTTTGATTCCCCAATGGCTGGCAGCCAAGTCAGTTATCTAATTGGAATGGGTGGGAAGGCCTGTTCTGTTTTCTTCAATTTGGATGATGTCTGCTTTTGCACAAACCCATTAAACACAGCTGCAGTTAAATATATAACAGCAACCTTGGTGGAAAAACCCTCTGAAGTTAATAACTGGCCTCTTCTCTCTGTCAGATCTTTCAGATCTCTTTGATTAGGGCTGAAGCATGCTCAAGCTGAATGCAGCCCCTCCTTTTGGCAATTCACCATCTTCTTTTTCTTCTTCTCTGCAAGCTGTCCTGTTTACTGTCAAGCCAACAAACTGCTATGGAGTTTTAGATCTCCCCCTCCCCCTTAGCTAAAGTGCATGGTACTTCCCCCCCCCGGAAAAGCAATTCTAAAACGATCATTATTGCATTAATACATACAAAATAGTGCTTATTATCTATATTGTATATGAAATTGAGTTAGCTAGTGTGCAGCACTGGTTAGAACATTGGACTACTGCTCTGGAGATCAGGGTTTGATTTCTTGCTCAGTCATGGAAACCCCCTTTGTGACCGTGGGTAAGTCACACACTCTCAGCTCCCAGAAAATCCTGTGACTGGCATTTAACTGTACATTACTGCACTAAGAAGCCTTACCAGAAAAAAAATTGAAAAATATTGCCCATGATTTTACTCTCCTGTCCTTTTGTCCCAGTTCTGAGACTTGGGGAGAGGAAATGGCTGCATGGGATACTGGAAACCCAATTTCTCATTCATATTTTCCTCTCCCATATGATCTCATCTCTTTACCCTCCTCCTTTACAGATTTCCATAGAGATCTCATCAAAAGTACCAGGATGACAAGCTTCCACATTCAAT